TAAATTGTTGTATTGGTTATTAAGATTAGCGTTACGTAATGTGGCGATGTGAATATTTAAGTAGGCTATACTACATAAGTTACTTCTTGATTTATCTGAGCTCAGGACTTGATCGTCCTTATTGGGTGTTGTGGCTAATTCGTTGGTCTCGTCTCCATCGCTCTTTCTTATCAATACGAAGAGAAAGTTAAAGAATCCACCCTGGTATTCGGAAAGGCCAGAGGAACGTAGACCACGGTGGTGTGGTCTGTCTTTAACTGTGGGAAGGAACGCAATAAGTGGCTTTATGCGGTTGCGGTTACCTTGGTAAGAATCGACAAAGCTGTCAAATTAAATACCACGCTTAAGTGAAACCCCCCTAAATGACTTCAAACCTTTAACTGCTCAAAAATGCGTTTTTTAATGTACTACAGAATTCAGGTTTGCAACGTTTAGCTGCAGAAAAAATTATAAGACGCTTTGTTAGAGCCATGCCATGGCGCCTAAAATTTTGGAGCTGGCGACTTGATTTGTAAAACAAGTCTTCCTAAACCAAAAGAGTTGGTTGCCAAATGGCGGCCAAGTAAAAGTTTTAACTTGAAGGGTCAGTTGAAGAAAATAATTATGATAGAAAACGAGGAAGAGGATAACATTTTTTGTTATTATTTTATTTCACCAACGTACACCAAGCGACAACATCAAAACTTTACAGTCTTTATACATTTGTGTAAATGTTTAAGAATGAAATAAACCCCTTTGGACTGAATCATGGGCGGATCTAGGGGGAGGGTGCAGGGGGTGCGCACCCCCCCTCCCTGAGATGACCTGCGGTTTTCTAATGCAACTGGTATTCTGCAAAAAAATAAACTATGTGGTTTATTGGTGTTGAAGTGGAGCCAGAGACGAGTGCACCCCCTCCTAAAAAAAAATCCTGGATCCGCCCCTGTGAATGAAAGCACGTATAGAAAAGAGTTGAAAACATCCGTTTGAATTTTTAACGGAAGGTATCTTATTACAATAATTAAGAAAATACTTGTTTTTAAACAAAATCATAAAGGTATCTGTTTACAAATGCTCTTTTAAGGCGCTCTGTCTCAAGCAAATGCAGCAAATGCGAGAACAAAGTTATGACCTCTTTCTCGTGCATGCTGAGTTCTGCATGAGGAAGGTACTAATCAGTCATACTTTGTAGTACTAGGCTAATGGGGATGTGCCCGCTGGATGGGGTCGCATTTTTACGACCGGATTGACTATAAAGGGGTTGCATTTTCAATAGAGTTAGTAAGTCCTAATAGTAATCAACATCAATTTTCTCCAAAAGCTTATGATAATTTTTTTTATTTTATTTACGGGAGGGTATGGATTTCAGTGTGGAGAATTTGTATTTGGATATCGAGGCTTAACAAGGTTACCAATTTTGCCCAAAGTACCTTGTTACCGGTTCTGATCATTTTACTTACTGATGGGACCGAACTTTACTCCACACTGAAGAAATTGGTCCATTTTACTAAGATACTTGAATACCTTGTTGTGTTGAATTTGAACAAGGTCTTATCTCTACCTAACTTTATGCTTTAAATACGTCTGAGAAAAAATAGAGGTCTTTTTGTTGTTTCCAATCATGAATGGGAACACTGATTCTGTAACACACATAATGTACCAATCACAATATGGTATCCGTAACGACTATTCTACGACTGTAGTGAAATTGTTATGTTGAAATTGAATTCTCTCTCTCGGTTATTCGTTTGTCTCTACCTATAATTGTATGCTTTAAATAGTTCTAAGAAAAATAGGTCTCTGTTTTGTTTCCAGTCATTGCAGTGCATGTGAACATTCTGGAACACACTATGTACCATTCAAAAGATGGTATCCATAACGACTATGCTACGACTGTATTGAAAGTTCGGCCCAGCCCTTTGAATCTTTTTCCCTTTTCACAACCATGGATACTCTCTTTTTGTCCTGAAAGAGAGATGAAAATGAAGTTGACATTATAATCGATTGAACTGCGGGATGGATAAATAAATGGAGAGAGAAGATGATCTTCTCTGCATTTATTACAGTATGTCCTGTTTGAAATACTATTTTTTTTCCGAGCTACTGTAATGGAGGAAAGTTCAATTGCTAGAAGAGTGGTTAGAGCGCTGGACTTGCAACATGATACACCCTTTCCAGTTTTTTTCTCTTTCCCCGCCGCGTCTCGCCTTTCTCGAGTGGAGTGATTTTCACGCGCGTTCGCCTCTCGCTCGCTCTACTATACCTGAGGGAAAATGAGGGACTGTGACGTTGACAAGTTAGCAAAAATCTGTCGACATCACTGGAAAGAGCGTCTTAAAATGAGTAAAATTGCCGAGTTTGAAAGTGGTTACTAAAACTATTACTAAAACGTACAGATGCTTACTAAGACTATTACCTGTACGAAGTAGCCAAATTGCTGTTGGTTTTGTTCTTTTCACTGAGTCCCTTCTGCAGCTAAGTCTATTCTCGAAAACCTGCGCATTTTAGAAAAAAATGTTTATTACGGTTAGTTTACAACGGCAACAGCATTTGACTTCAACTATCAGAATTCTTCAGCTTTGTTGTTTCTTGGGCAAATCGATCTTTTTAGCTTGTGTTCTTTGTTTTCTCATTTTAGGTCACGTGATGATACCTCGGAAAACTTTTCTTTCTACTGTTGTCCTATACGCCACGTCCACATTTCCCATAATGCACCTTATTAACCCCCTACCCCCCCCCCCAAATTTTGCATAAACATTGTTTTAAACTTCTCTTGGGACGGCTGTAATACCCAGGAGAAATGAAAAACAAAGGTTGCGCAAAATTTGGGGGGACAATAGGTGCATTGTGGGAAATATGGAAATGGCGTCACGGCGCATGCCGTCACGGCGGCCATGTTGGTGTTGGTGAATTAATGGTTAAGTAGCAGTATAAAGCCCGGCTAACACGTGCTTCTTGTTATACGTTATACTCTGCCTACGGGATCATTAAGTGTCCCTTCCCCCTCCCTGCAATAACGAGTATTAGCTACTATCATATGACCCGTACGGCCCGCGCGCAATCTTGTTGGAAAACCATATAAAAAAATCCCGTATGAGGGCCATAAGCGTCAAGTGATAGGGACGGAAAAACGCCTACGCCCCTGCTTAAAAAGCGTTCTGATCGATGAGGGTTTGCTCCGTCAGAACAATTTTAATAAACACAACGGTCATGTGATAGAATACTTATTGACTGAGTTAGGTCGGGTCGAACGGGGAAATATTTGGCTCTCGGTCAGGACGCACGGACCTCGCCATGTTTTCCTGTCCGGCCCTCATCATTATACTTTTCTGGAAAACTGCCCACCTCCCCCTCCCCTAAGCCAACATTTTGCCAGAAGTGAGAGGTAAACGTTAATGTTGGCTGAGGGGAGGGGTAGCTGGGCAGTTTCCCAGAAACGTATAATGATCTGAAATTATCCTTACCTCTTTTTTATCCTGAACATAAATACTGTGGTGATGACGGCGCTCAGAACCAGAAAGAAAATACTCAAAGACCAAGTTGCCACGATAGTGTTGAACTTCTTTTCTGCTGTAAAAAGAGAATGATATGGTCACTGATTGGATACTTACTTCACTAAGCAAAGAAAACCTCACAGTACTCCTTTCTCACGTCACGTTAGCGCCATTTTACTGCGGCTGTCCGAATTGCGCGGTGGTGTAATGCTAAGTGCCCCGGTCTTTGGATCGAAAGGTGTTGTGTTTTCAAACAAGACGCATGCTCACAGTTTTATGAATAGTTTTCGCGTTATTGAGGTAAACGTTTTATGAGAATATAGTTATTGGACAATAGTAGCCGTTTTTCACATTAATGGGAGCCCGAAATAGAGCATGGTATTAGAGACTCGCAAGGGTTTTACTCCATCCCGAGTATAAAAGAAAATGTCTGTGATAGCGAGGTGTCCGTAGTAAGTACATCACCGTGAAGCAGCCCGTTTGACGGTAAATCCTTACTGAACAACTAGCATACAAATTGGGCTACCGCTAGCCGCCCACTCCCGATTTTCCCGCTCCCTGGTTTGTAGTAATGACTGTACTAAATTAAACATTTAGATATAATAAACACTTAGAGCGGGTTTTCACTTGACTGTCGTAAAACCAAAACCTAAGTAAATACACTAGCAAACCAAAGGGCGTAGTAAAACCAAAACCAAAACCAAAACCAATCCCTTTCGACAGTCAAGTGAAAACCGCTCTAATGACTGTTCCCGAGGGAAACAGTTAATTGCTTCGCGAGAGGCGAAGCAGAGGGAAACATTGAGATTCGATTCGTCATAGATTATGTTGCCCGCTCAGAGATTTTGGCGGGAAACAGTTTAATTGTTAGATGTCATGTGACCTCGAAGTAACCAATAAGAGCGCGCGTTTATGGGGAAAACTTTCCATCAATATAACAATAAAGATTGTTTTTACACGCACACGAAAGAGTGTGGGCCCTGCTGTCAGTGCTGTTGCTATTTTACTTTCGACATTTGTTATAAATTAACATGCTTTTGTTACAGCTGTTGTTGTTCATGGAGACCTCATGTTGGTTTCTTATAAGAGGGCACGTATATGACGGCAGAAAACCAGCGAAAAATTCTGTTATTGAGTTTTGCGATGGCGGTCTGAAGTCCTCATTCGAAAAGCTCATGAAAATTAAAATTGATACGTATTCCAATACAGCGATTGTTCAGATAACAAAACCTTGAAGTAAAATTCTCTTAATTTTCAACCTACATGGCAGCTTTCTTGGGTGCCTTTTAAATTCTACGTCACGCAAGGCTTAGAAATTCAAGTTATAATGCCCTCTATCACGAAACGAAGTACCCTGTGAGCAGAGGCCCTTCAATCTTCCTTTAGATGCAAAAATGCTGTTGTTTTTGTTGTTGTTTTGCTTCTATGGAGATAGACGCCATGTTGGTGTCAGAAACACTTGTTGTTGTGTTTTCTTGCCGGGAGTGCGTGAATTCATTGTTCGAGGAGCTAATAAACATTTAAATTAGTTGTTATTCTAATTTAAAGACTGATGTTTACTGCTGTTAGCTCATAAAAGGAAAGCTCAGAAGACTGAATGATATAATTTTTTAATTTGAATTTTGATGTTTTCAAGCAGAGAGTGCCTTAGGCACGCACGCATATAGTGCTTAAATAATACCTGTCCTTAGACGCAATTATTTGAGTAAACAACTGTAGAGCAGGCATTTTTGGAGCCGTGAATCCTTGACAAAAGTCCAAAGAAGAGTTTCGGTCAGCCATAAAGCAAAAGCGTGGAGAAATGGTTTATGATGACTCGCTTAGCTTTCGCTCACTAAAACGGCAAAATCTAGAGAAACGTAGAAACGTAGTCTTCCATTTTCGGACCAAGTGAAATCGATTAAGATGTTTTATTAACTTCAATTAACACGATTTTCAGTTTGCCCTAATTCTTGTGAACGGGACCCTAGAGTTTTGCTTTGTTATTTGGGATGTCGTATACATGTATATGTAATAAGCACTCCTCCTTTTCAAGAGGTATTTTTGGTTGTTTTCCTATCTTTTGAACAAAGTATCGTCACTGTATCGTCATTGAAATCATGTCGAATCAAGTACAGCTGCGAAGTATGTCTCGAGAATTTGTCGCAAGAAGTGCTCGTGTGGGAACACAGGCTATCAGGGAAACAGAAGTAAAAATCGTAGAAAACCCGCTTCTGACCAATAGATTGCATTTTTTACAGAAAGAAAATACCGCTATGAATTCCTCGTTAGACAAACACCGCTAATAAGCGCACACTTGGTACTGAATAGTTTAGCGACATCAATACAACAAGGCCTGTCGGTAATTATTTAAACGCAGTTTAGTCATTGACTGTGTAACAAAACGCGTTCCTTAACCATTTTTAGGTTGTCCAACGCTTTTATCTATTTTCTCGTCAATGCTTAACGCTTCCATGAAATTGTTCGCGATAGTGGAAGTTTAAAACATCAATAATCGTGAACAGTTCCATGTAGATAAATGCAGCTATTGTCGAATCACTTGTGTCATACGTTCTAGCTATACTTGTTCAGGCTTTCCAATTTTTGTTATCTTGTTTTGCACGGTTCGCATGGTGATTACTGTTAGTGCTGTGAAAATTTACCAACCTGAAAGGCTTAACGCTTCTCCAAAAAGCCAAAATACTATGAAAATCACGCTCAGAGCCATAGATCTCTTGCTGAAGGACGTAGCTGATGATTGTTGATAGCAGAAAAGCGAACTCGACAAACCAGATCAACGCAGCGCAGTGTGTTGACTGGCTACTGATTACCGGGGGTATGTTCCGGAGAGCTGTCTTGCGTGCATGAGTATAAATCATAAAAACGGTGTGGCACTGTCGTTATGACTACGTTGTCATAGTAACGACAATTTGTTTGTTAATGACTAGGTAATCTAGATAACGAAAAAAAAGCTTAATTTTACAAGCCTTTCTAACCCCTGTCATGACAATTTGAGACATTACTTTGCAGCACGAACAGTGCAAGAATCCTACAGTTAAATAACAATAATAGGCCTCGATAGGAAAGTCTAACTGCGTAGGGCTTTCTGTGAGCGACAATTCACTCAGATGAGCGAAGACAGAAAAGAAGGGAAGGTTGAAAAACCTGTCGTGATCCACGTCAACTTCGGCGACAATGGGTACTTTCTAAAGAAAAATTCCGGCTCGAAATTTCGGAAGTAAAACGTGCCTAATGGATACATTCCGGTTCCACTAGCAAGATACGGAAGAGCGGTACTGGGGACAGCCGTTATGCCAGAATGGAAGGGACATTTTACTCTAACTGGTAGGACTGGTCAAAGTGGACCGCCATCTTCAAAGGTGGTCACAAATATTTCGGTCAGACCGAATTGAATTGGTCCTTTCCATTTCATTTCCAACCAAAATTTTCGGAATTTTAGGTTGAATGGAAAGCGCCCGAAGGTGCAAGGGCGGATCTAGGGGGAGGGTGCAGGGGGTGCGCAAACCCCCCCCCCCCCCCTGAAATGACCTGCGGTTTTCTAATACAACTGGTATTCTGCAAATAAAAAACTATGTGGTTTATTGGTGTTGAAGTAGAGCAAGAGACGAGTGCACCCCCTCCTAAAAAAAATCCTGGATCCGCCCCTGAGGTGTGAATGCTGTCAGACACAGGGTGTACAATGTGCAGAAACCCCGTTAATACGGACACTAAATGGGCAAAAGAAAGTGTCCGTATTAACGGTTGTACGTATATTTGATAAACAGGTTAAATTAAGATAGTGCTAAGCACAAGGAAAACTGTCCCTAATAATGAAGTGTTCGGAATTAAGCACGTGTCCGGATGAATCGGGGTTTGACAGTACTCTTAAATAACGCACATTTTGAATTCTACCTTTGTGCATCTTTTGCCTCGCGCTCAAGCTCTCCGAAACCTAGTCTTTATTGGTCTTTGAAAAATCTCCTGACACCTGCTAATGTTATTGGGATAGGCCAGGGCATTTTTTTAAGTCATGTATCCATTGTCTCCTAAGATCAGCCAAACAACGTTCCAAAGGATCCAAAATTCTATTCCAAAAACAGATGTAGCTGAACTCGTGTATTGTAACCAAATTATTGACAATGAAACGAAACGTCTGCTTTGTTGTACAGTTTGTAAAGCAACCCCCAAACCAGACGCTTCAATATTTCTATACCGAAAATACACTACCAGGTTAACCCTGCTTCATTGTATCCAGTAACAGCCAGCCCACTAAACCTATTAGATAATTCTTAGACCGTCATTTTGACTTTGCACAAGTAAGCCATTTTTGGGGACGAGCTCGAGAAAACGGGAGAAAAAGGTCGCAAGAAGTCGACCAGGTTTTCCTTCTTGATCGACGATCATCTTGCGATGACCCAGCCGCAAAACAAAAACAGTGTAGAAACTGCCTTCTATAATACCATTACAACAGATTAGGCAGTCAAAGACAGCACACTCTATTTGAAAAAAGCTACAAAGAAAAACTTTAATAACTGGAAAACTACCTGACAATGATTTTCTTGTTACCTATATTTCCTCGACATTTCCACGACATTCCCTCGGATACACGTATCAACACCGCAATATACACCATCATAAAAACTGAAACACTTACTGTAAACAATCTTTCTTTCAAAAACAAACATTATCTCTACTTACAAACACATGAGAGTGCTGGAATCCAACTTTCAAGCCGATCAGTTTCTAGGCAAATTCGAAACAATAAATTGTTCTAATCTGTTGCTAACAGCTGAACGCTTTCTTCGTAAAAGCTTATTACTGCGCTTTTCACAAACATTCGAACTCTAAAGTTCAAAAACCGCCTTCACAATTGCGTTTTTCGCTGCCGTCAATCATAATTACGATCACAAGCAACAAACCTTGAAACACAGAAACACACAAAACGGATCCAAATCCATCAATCACAAATCACAAACCATGACCTTTTGAACCCGTTAAAGTAAAGTTTTGTTTCCTAGGAGGTCCGTTAAGATGATTGACGGCAGCGAAAAACGCAATCGTCAGTTGGCTTTTGAACTTCAGAATTCTCATGTTTGTGAAAAGCGCAGTAACAACTAAGAAGCACCCTCTATAGAAGTTTACATGTAGTAAACTTTTATTTACATCGTCGAAAGCCCTATAATTGGATGAACGCCTAAAGTTTATCTAACTTCATCGCTTTCATTCTAAAAAAACGTAATAATCATAATAACAATCAACAAAAAAAAAATTAAGAAAATAACTCGATTTAAGATAATAAAAAGTAAATAAGCACTAATGTCATAATAAAACGCTAGGTACTCGATCACTAGGCAAGAATATCGCCGCTACAAGTCTAAACCTTTATTCTAGTTGTGGATGTGACTCATTTCAAGTTTTGACGGATTTTTCGATCCTGTTCAGTGTACCCTAAAAGAAATCCATGCATGCATATACGTTATTTTTTATCCTCAAAGAGGCTTTTGGTTTTAAGAAAACCCACGAAAGTTGTGTTCGAGGTACTGAGCGCAGTCGCATCCCGGTTGCTTGTGCTTTACATCCTATTAAAAGCCGAAAGTTTTCCCTGCTTTTACATGTTACTTGCTTCTATTACATCGATGAAACAGTTCTTAGTAGAATATTCAAATTACTAGCTGCCTAGCTTTTTATGTTACTTTTTAAGTACACAGCAGCCAATTATCAGCAACACAACAATTCCAATGCAAATCACAGCAACAGCTACCGCCATCAGGGAAATGATAGTGTTTTTGTCCTTTTCTGAAATTTAAAAAAGAAAAAAGAAAGGACAAAGAAAAGTCATTTACTAGCGATTAACGATTCCACCTGTACCCCGCTGGAAGCTACCAAAGAGCCCTTTACAACACGCCTTGATAGAGAGGAGAAGTCGTTACGTCACGTTACCATTGTAGCAAAATGTTTGGATGACAACAAACCAAAAACTCACTTAAAAAAGTAAATTTGCAATGTTTCAAACTTCTTCGATCTTACTCAATTTGATTTAATTTGTCAAATGTTGGCGAATTTTCTGGGGTTGAATCCCAAAGGACCTTATCTGAGTTTAGAAAGAGAAAAGGAAACTTTTGTGTTGTGTTCTCCTACTCCGTAAAGCGGGCGCGTGAAATTAGGAAGTTTCATGTCGCAGTCTTGCAACGATGGCTAAAACCTGTGTAAAAAAGCGTGATGCACGTGCAAAGTTGTTTTTCTTGTTAATATAAACCTATTGCTTTTTTGCCGTTCTCGGTGCCGTCGCCGTCGTCGTTGCTTAAGCTCCCTTAGTGTGATCCAAAAATTTTGCTACCATGGTAATGTGACGTCACACTTCTCCTCTATTGGTTTTAATCCTTTTTTTGAATTACTCTTTCTCCCATTGGTTTAAATGCCGTAAACTTCCGATTATAACCCCCCCTAACTTAAAAGCCCCGCCCCCAAGTTATAGGCCCATCTACCTGTTAACAAAAAAATATATCCATACCAATATCTATACATTGCCAAATGGACCTTTTGCGCCCAACAGTTTTTTTCGGCCAAAAACTCCAAAGTAACTACTATAAAAACTAAGAGTGCAACTATTGCTTTTTTTCGTCTCCTCCTTTCCTTCTCCTCGCTTTTTCTCCTTTCCTATTCCTTCGTTTCTTTGATTTTCAGAGCTTCTCGGGGTAAAGAAACCTGCCTTTTGACCTTTGTACTCAAATGACAGTCACTGCAAATGTCGTTAGGTTGGTTTTCAAAAAATTGGTTCGATAGATATCCTGTTATAAGACCCCGTAACCTGGTTTTGGATTACTGTTCATTACTTTTACAAGTATGTGAAAGACAAAGATAACAAACCACGTACCCAAATCATCATCACCCGTTTGCCCACCAGTAACAGCCCCATCGTCAGGGCCCACAGAAGATGGCACAGCTGATGATGTTTGCTGAGCCGATGATGGCGCAGAAACCTGCGATGAAGATGGTTCCGTGACATGTGACACTGAATATGTCATCGCTGTTGAGGCAGACACTGAGTTTGATACCGAAACTGATGGTGATGGCGACATTGCCACTGAAACCGATGCCGAGACTGACCTAGATGGCGACATCGACTGCGACATTGATGTTGACATGGAATGTGACATTGATGTTGAGGCAGACACTGATATTAATGCCGAGATTGACCTAGATGGCGACATTGATGTTGTAGTAGAAGTTGACATGGAATCTGACATCGATGTTGAAAGAGACAGTGAAGTTGATGGTGAAGCTGACATAGATGGTGACATCGACGGTGAACTAGCCGTTGAATTAGACGCTGAGGCTCGAGTAGATGGCGACATCGACTGCGATATTGATGTTGACATGGAATTTGACATTGATGTTGAGGCAGACACTGAAGTTAATGTCGAGGCTGAAGTAGATGGCGACAATGACGTTGACATTGACTGCGATATTGATGTTGACATGGAATTTGACACTGGTGTTGAGGCAGAAATTGAGGTTGATGTCGAGGCTGAAGTAGATGGCGACAATGACGTTGACATTGACTGCGATATTGATGTAGATATGGAATGTGACATCGATGTTGAGGCAGACACTGAAGTTGATGTCGAGGCTGAAGTAGATGGCGACAATGACGTTGACATTGACTGCGATATTGATGTTGATATGGAATGTGACATCGATGTTGAGGCAGACACTGAAGTTGATGTCGAGGCTGAAGTAGATGGCGACAATGACGTTGACATTGACTGCGATATTGATGTAGATATGGAATGTGACATCGATGTTGAGGCAGACACTGAAGTTGATGTCGAGGCTGAAGTAGATGGCGACAATGACGTTGACATTGACTGCGATATTGATGTTGACATGGAATTTGACATTGATGTTGAGGCAGACACTGAAGTTAATGTCGAGGCTGAAGTAGATGGCGACAATGACGTTGACATTGACTGCGATATTGATGTTGACATGGAATTTGACACTGGTGTTGAGGCAGAAATTGAGGTTGATGTCGAGGCTGAAGTAGATGGCGATAATGACGTTGACATTGACTGCGATATTGATGTAGATATGGAATGTGACATCGATGTTGAGGCAGACACTGAAGTTGATGTCGAGGCTGAAGTAGATGGCGACAATGACGTTGACATTGACTGCGATATTGATGTAGATATGGAATGTGACATCGATGTTGAGGCAGACACTGAAGTTGATGTCGAGGCTGAAGTAGATGGCGACAATGACGTTGACATTGACTGCGATATTGATGTTGACATGGAATTTGACATTGATGTTGAGGCAGACACTGAAGTTAATGTCGAGGCTGAAGTAGATGGCGACAATGACGTTGACATTGACTGCGATATTGATGTTGACATGGAATGTGACATTGATGTTGAGGCAGACACTGAAGTTAATGTCGAGGCTGAAGTAGATGGCGACAATGACGTTGACATTGACTGCGATATTGATGTTGACATGGAATTTGACATTGATGTTGAGGCAGACACTGAAGCTGATGTCGAGGCTGAAGTAAATGGCGACAATGACGTTGACATTGACTGCGATATTGATGTAGATATGGAATGTGACATTGATGTTGAGACAGACACTGATGTTGACGCCGAGGCTGAGGTAGATGGTGATATAGATTGCGACAACGATATTGAATTAGACAAGGAACTTGATGTTGACGGCGGAGCTGAAACAAAAATAGAAGTGTTTACTTTAGTATTTAAAATGGCTTTTCGTATACATCTTATACCTCTACATTTATTTCCGGTTAAATACCCAATTTTTCCACAGTTTCACAGTTTTCCAAAGTCTCTTACAGTAAACTAGCAAGGAAATGATAAAGGATATTTCTGGCGGCAAATGAAAAAGAGCACAATCTGACCTCTTACGTCCTAAACTCAAATGCAAATAAGTTTACAAATTTTTAATGTCCAAGCAAGATAGATTACAGGGGCACCCAACGACGGAGTCTTAAATACATTGAAAACACTTTTAAGGCTATCCAGAGTGCTT